ATGAATACTGGAGATAAAATAGGAGCACATCCTGTCAGCACATACAATGTGTCACCCTGAAATATCCAAGACTACTACGAGTATCCGCTGCGTAACACGGGGGTCGGTGGCAAACACAATGCCACGGGTTTTTCGCCATTATATTTCTGGGATCGCATTACCATCGAGATATACCATGGCTCGCTTTCATTGGAGACACAGAGATTTTTATCTCCCGCGAGTTGCATGAATACGCGGTTCCCATAGACGGAGATCACCCTCTTTACTCTATGTCCTTCCTTTCTCGCGTTTTCTCTTTCTTTCCGCTCCCTTTCCCTCTTTTTCTACTTCTCTACGTTCTCAACCGTAATTTTTGGTGCCGCTCCCCTGATACATGTATGCAACAACTTTCAGATATGTATCGACACAATTTCATTTGTCTATGGCTCAATGAATATCGTCAAGTAAATCAGAGGGTCCAACCAATTCAGATAAGACTTCAAACGGTGCCGAAACATCCTTAGTTACAATTGATCTTTAAATTATCTTTTATTAAAGCAATTCTGTTTGTTGGCCAAAATCATGTTGGCAATCATCTGAATATTTGATTATTAATAAAAAATAAATAGCTCATGAATCTAAATACTTCTCAATATAAATAATATCTTCTGTAGCTTTTTACATAAGTAATTTTAACAAAAATAACTTTTCATAAATAAAAATTATTACGAAAACAAAAGTTTTACTGTATAGTGAATTTATTACGTTAACACCAGAAATTGATTTATCGATTGCCATTCTTGAAGAAAAAATGTTATTTAGCTGCTGAATTATTATTTCAATAGCTGTTATGTGGTTACACCTTTTACTTTACCCCTTTGGGGTATCGAGCGAGTGCTGCCATCGACGAACTTGTATAGGAGCTTTACAAGGGGATTTTTTCCTTCCTATTTACAGAGTCCTGTTTATCATTTTTTAGTAGAGCTCTTCTTCGAATTTCTAAGTCATCAACGTATGGTATGTTACCATCATTCACTCAAAGAATTCCTTCTTTACCGTCTAACAATAGTCATTATAATTTCTACATAGCCGACAAATGATTTTGAAAATTCTTTTTTAAAAAAAATTAATTCAACATTAAACCAATTTTCCCAAGGCTAAACGAATGTCTAAATGTATGAGGATATAAAATTATTATGAGCTTATCTTTGACGTTATTCCGTTAAATTTACGGTTTAAAGTAAATATTTAAAAACATTATTATGGAATGTTGACTATTTTTTAGAAAATCAATATTAAAAAACAAATAAACAAAGATGTTAATTAAATTAGACGGAATCAAAAGATGGCTTAAGAGTGCTTTATTAACGAATTGAATAACTACATTTACTACAAGAGTTTATTAATATAATATCTGGCATCCTATGCTTTGCATTGTAATCCTTTTGATGTGCCGCTAAAGCTGGTCCTTACAAAACCGAAGCTTATGTCGATCTCTGCTGAAATTTGGACATCCAAGCAGGATTTTATGAAGCTTATTATTAAACTATGTACGTGTATTACTCTAAATAAATGTATAAGTATACATGGGAGACATGACACAGGCAAGGAAGGGGAATAAAATAGCAAGAGAAAGGGGTTATTATACAAGGGTGAAAATAATAGGCTACCTAACCGGAGCTTTGACGTTTAAATATCCAGAAATACCAAAAATTATCGTCATAATTTTCAATATTTCTTTTTTCGACATTTTTTTTTTTATTTTATGTTCTTCACTTCATCCTTTTCTCCTACTCTCATTTATTTTTTTTTCAGTTTGTCCTGGGGTTTTTATAAACTTCCCTCTTTTTATCGCATGTCTCAACCCCCGAGGATTATTAACTGCACGCGGAACGGAGCGCATGGATTAGCGGAAGTAATGCGGAATCAACGGAAATACTGCTCTTTCTCCATGTCCAGGATTATTTGCCTCGACATCACGAAAACCCCTAACGTGTCTTTTGGTGGTTATTAATATTATTTCTATTCTTTTTTTATTCTTCTCTTATTATTTGCCGCTTTCTATTCATTACGTTTGAGGTTAACTTAAGAGATAATTTTTTTTCTGAACTTTTTTTTTCTCTCTATTATATTCAATCATAAAAATTCGTTAATTTTTTTTTAATTATTTCTTTAGTTTGAAGTTGTTAAAGATGTCAGAAAATTAATTAGAAACTTAAATTCTAAAAATTTGAATGAAAATAATTTTTTTTTGAAGTTCTTAAGCTTGCGATGAAGGAGTACGGTCATCTAATCAGACCTCCCTAGTCTTGATTTAGGACAGGATTTTAATTACGAGGGTCAGCACAAAATAGTATGGACACTCTGGTGTTTCAGACCTCTTATACTTCTGAGTCTTTATTTATGACTCATTAACACAACACCCATGCGTCTTGGCTTTGGATTAATTTTCAACTACAACACATACTAAATATAATTCAATTTAATTTCTTTTGCAAAAGACAAGAATGTCTAATCAAATGTGACATTTTTTTCCAGACTATTCAAATATTTCTAGTAATCATCCATTTGTTCTTTTTCCTTCTACCAAGTGCTTCCGTTTTGATATCACTGGATGGTCAGAAGTGATAAGAAGAAGAAAAAAAAGTTTAAGAAAAAAGGAAGACCTCGTTTTTAAAAAATTTCAGGGAAAAATGAATGAGTTAAAATTACAAGTTTCAATGGGTTCTTCAAAAGTATTTGTAAATATTTAGGGTTAAGTGTATACCATTGTCACACTCAGAAACAAGCATAAACCACTTCTGCATTCTCAATTGCACACTTTAGCTGACCACAATAGGGTGCGTCAGAATATGTAACGCAGCAATGCACACAGGAACTTGAAGGTGATGTAACATGTGTTAAATTATACGATAAAAATGAGTAACAATATTAATTATCCATGTCAAACAGGTCTTATTAATACACATTTTGCTAAATTACTTTACTACAACAGCAATTGAGAGAGAAAAAGCTGACTGGTTGATTATCATCATTCGATTAATTGATCTAATTTCCACTGACATCAAGAGACTCCAGCGGATGCTGAGGAAAATTCTGATGATATTCAAACTTATAAGAAGAGTTGAACTTAAAGACAAGTGCGGGGGTGGGGCTGGAAAGTGTGTAAGCGTTAGAAGCGAGCCCCACCCCCTACTAACAAGCTCCGCCTCCAGGAGGTCGTATGACGTCACACAGACACTTGTTACGCCTTGGTACAGAGTAGCAATCGTCTAAGGGAAACATGTCCTAATCTAAAATTTAAACAAGGAATCTGCACTTTATTTCCAAGATCCTCTTTGAAAGTATCTTTCCTATCAATAAGGTAAGATCTTTTTCAGAAAATACTTCTCATCATTTTTTACTAGGAACAAATATTTATTATTCACCTGTAAGCTTTTATTTTAAGACTTCTTTTAAGGTCAGAGCTTTTGCCCAATAATTTCAAGGGTAATTTCAATGAACAAATCATGAATTATAAGCGTTGATGTTTGAATATTTGTTACATTTATTTTTATTATTTATTCGTGATATTAATTTTAAATATCTATAAAGATTTTTTTTTGGTAATTGTTGATTAGTTTAAATAATTATTTAGACCAAACATGAATCAATAAAGATGGCTCTAAAATTATGTTTATTATCAGAGTAGATTTTTGAAATCAATTTTGGCTCCAAAAAGAATTTTTTCAATATTGTGATCTTTTATAGTAGGAAGCAAAAATGGTTTATTTCTGGTTCAACATTTTTAAGCTCAGTCTAACATTAAATTAGAAATGAACTAATGTTACTCTCTAAAAATGAAATGATGAAAATAATGATATACACTGCAAAATCAATGAATATTTACTGGTTTTGCAGTGAATTTCATTATTTTCACTGTTTTATTTTTAGAGAGTAGGAATTTCATTTACAATTAGATTTATATTTGAAAATAGTTACATTTTGAATTTAAATTTTTTGAGCAATTTGTCAATGCACTTGCATGTCTGTATGCTCAGTTCAATCAACGAAATTTTAATATCAGCAGAGATTTGACTTCAACAAAATAGATTGGTAATTCTTAAAGATATTGATGGTGAAAAATTGTCACATCGTGATTGAATCTCAAATTAATTTATCATTTTGACTATTATTTTCTCACGACAAAAAACAAAGGGGCAGTGAATATTCTACTCCAAACGATTGTGATATCAAAGTCGAAATGAGTGGTGGTCCTCCGTGGGAAAGCATTGATAAGAGGGTTCTCTTTACTGATAATTTATTTTTCAATTTTTGTTTCTTAGTGAATCAAATGGGGAAAAAAAAATTTCACCAAACCCATTATCAGAATTTCAGTTAATTAAACTTAAGCCCACATTAAATGGGGTAATAAACAATTGAAGGGGATGAAAGGGTGAAACATGAGTACTTTCAAAAAGTGGCTGAACAACGCGAGATTCTGGCAAAGTTAGTGGCGCGTTGGTGGTGGCAGAAGCACTCTCATGAGAGCTCCCTAGAGTTGCAGTGGGGAGAGGTATGCTTTCGTACGGAGGCAGTGGGGGATGTATGAGGACTAGAGAGGAACTGCGGGGCTTTGGGCTGTCCCGATCTCGCGGAACACGCGGCCTTCCCTGCCAAATGCTACGGCATTACGTCGCACGCCGTTGAACGCGACTGACGACAACTCACTTTCTCTCTATTGTCATTCACAGCTTACGTATTAGTGTGTCAATTTGTGATTGTGTGCGACTGTTTACATCGGATTTCTAACTATATCTTCGACCTAATATTAAATAAATTATTGTTAATTTATAAATTATTATAAAATTTACAAACTTTTTTAAATTATTTATTATTTATCAACGTGAAAAGCACAAAGTGAATTTAAAAATGACCTGACAAGTGTTTAAACATTTTTTTTATAATTTTATTTTATAACTCGAGTGTTTAAAACGGAAGATAATTTTTAATATAATTAGTGTTGTGATAAAAAAGATATATTTAACGGATTTATCCATTTTAAAATTAATTTAAATAATTAATAAATATTTATTAGAATAATGATGAGCTTTATTAAGAGAAGGGTGTTTTAAATTAACTCAGTCGGTATATTGACATACCGCGAGTGCATATGAGAAGTGGGTGAGGGAAAAATTGAAAAAGAAATACAGAAGCACGTGGCGGAATCGTGTGTTCAAATAAAGACTCGTTCGGACGACTATTTGCCTATGGGATGCATCTACCAGTGGACTCGGTTGGTTGTGGGGAGAATTACGATTCCGTCGGTTCCCACGAAGGTGCCGGACTCGTAGGCTCCTCCCTGATCCCTCTTAGAAACGTTGACGCAAGATACCCTGGTGAAGATAACGACGGGGCCAGGGGTGCCTCTATTGGAGGCGCCGGTCCAACTTCTGGAGCGAGCGGAGGTGAAATGAGCGAGGGTGCCGCCGTCGGCGAGCTCTGGTGGACTGAGAAACTCGTTGGTCAAGCACAAGCTGTACATCCTGAAGAATTAGTTCGAACTGGTAAATTTGGAGCTTTTAAATCGTTCATAAAATCATAAATGTTGTGTAAATCAAATTGATTTCATTTATTGATTATAAAACATCATGATTTAATGAATGAAAGTTGACGATGATACGGATAAATGCTTTCAGGTTCGCCCTACTTTCTTTGTAGTCAGCTACCAACACATTGGAGATCGAATAAAACTCTACCGGTTGCATTTAAAGTTGTAGCTCTAGGAGACATTGGTGATGGAACTCTCGTTACAGTTCGAGCAGGAAATGACGAGAATTGTTGCGCTGAGCTCAGAAATTCGACTGCTTTGATGAAGAATCAAGTAGCAAAGTTCAATGATCTACGATTCGTTGGTCGAAGTGGAAGAGGTAAGTGATGGCAAGACGTCCATTATTACCGTCAGTCTACAGTAGCCAAGTCTACTCAACAAAATCATCATAAAAAAGACCATTCCTTATAACAACTGTGAATCATCTAATGATCAGCCTAAGTATTGAAATAAAATTTCAAATAAATAGCTAGAAAATTTTTAAAATGAGATTGGATAATTTAACCTTGTAAATCACTCAATTTCCTAATAAAGAAGTAATTTTTTTATTTATTTAATCAACTGGAAAATTGTGAAATTAATTATCAAAACCAGTAGATATATTAAAAGAGAAGTTGAAAAATTCAATTAATATTCATCGATAAAAGTAATTAAAATTTTTTGAAATTGTTGCAAGTATTTATATATGATCATTCAACCACTTGAAAAAAATAACATAAAAATAAAAATGATTGTTCATGACAATTTGAAGTAAACCAATCTCCGTGGTGATATGAATATTCCGGAATAATAGAACATCTGGTTCTGGCACTGGGATTAGCAGCAACGTGCGAGCGAAAAGCCACCCTCAACCCTCTTGAAATCACGGTTATTGTAATCACCATCATCATCATCATCATCATCATCATCGAATGGTCTCTCTAGCAAACTCATCTCTCTCTCTTTTTGCTCTGCAACCCACCCTCATGTATCTCATCCCCTGATGTGATAGTTATAGTCTCTATCTTTGTTTCGTGGCCGCATCCGCGAACTGTTCCCGTTCCCGTCGCCCCCAGAGTCATTACTCGACGTCCGCCGCGAACCCCCGGACAAGCACGCGAAACAACTGGCCGTTAATCAGAAATCATCGTGACCAACCCCGGAGAGACCAGTAGTCTCTCAAAATCATGATGCTACCTACGTCATTCTAAACATTTCATTCTGTCCAATGGTCTGTTGGATCATGATCATGGTTAGTCAACAAAACCATCAACATCTTTTCCAATCATTTGCATCACTGAAATAACCACTTTTATTGAAAGCAGAAAATATTTCAACAAATTAACTCAAACACCTTTCTGATCATGATAATGTGCTAAAATATTAAATTAAATGTTATTTTGAATTTAATTAAAATTTCCTAGACGTCTAAAGAATGAATGTTATCAAGTAGCCTTGATAGAAGAAAAAATAAAAAAAAATTCTTCAAATGATTGGAATAGAATTAGTTGTCATCAAAAGTCCCTAGAGTGAAGCCCGGGTGATAGATACGCAATTGAAGGGGGAGTTATTCATCAGTAGTCAACTATTGCAATTCTGCTAGATATAGTAGACAAACACGGAGAGAGATATATAACAAATAAAAGGATGAGAGACAGTGAGAATGTTGGCCCTACAACCGAAACGATGCGTTATGAATCAGTTGTGCGTCGAAAACGAGCTAGATTTGCTCTCGTAGTATCATCTATTTTTCAGGTGGCATCATTTTGCTTGGAATATTGCTCTCGAAATGTCATGAATTCGAATCGATTGATTTTATTCTCCATTCAATATAAAATTAATAACTTTAGTCAAATATTTAACTTAATGCATTGAAATCATTTGATACAATTACAGAAACAATTAATCGTTTAAACCATCAAAAAGAATATCAATATAATGATTGTTTTTTTTTTAAATAATCAGTTGATATAATATTTTTTTCTCAATCTGTAATCTTCAATTTGACAATTGGATGAATTGCCAGAGGGAAAACGACGTAATACGACCACTAGTTTGCTATATTTCTGCCTCTATCCCTCCGTGTTACCAGTCGCGGTGTCTGTTTCGACAGTTTATTAATTTGATTGGTCCTGCATCATCCGGAACAATCCACAAACATACACAAAACATATTTCATCAATGTATATGAGACGGATGTGTGAGTAGATAAAATACAAAACCGGTAGTCCATCAAAGCAAAAGGTGAATCGTGCTCTTGCATTAATAGACGATTTGTTTTACTTTTTCTATTTTTAGTGTATCAGTTAGGTATTGTAGAATCAAACTGAATTATATAAATTATTCATCATTTTTTTTACAAAATATTATTAACAAAAAAATACTCACCTTATTGTGTAAACAAGTCTATTTTAAAATATTATTAAATATTGCTAAAATTCAATTCTTCATTATAATCAATTAATTAATTGATAAATACCATGGAAATTAGAATTGATAATAGTCCAGATAATCTTGACTCAACCTGGACGATATGAGAATATAAACTGGCAAGGGATTGATAAAATAAATGTTTTCATTATTAATATAGATTGATTAGCCAACTTCCACATACATAATGACTAATAAACGATCAAGATAGCAATATCTGAACAATCTGGAAATGACCTGCGTTAGTAATTATTTGACAATTGCAGAGACATCCTGGCTGGCAAGTGGCATAGGTTTCACTCCCCTAAAACCACCCTGTCACCCTCTTCAGCTCTTGCACCCCTTCCACGAGTATTAGCGAATGGTTTCGAGTGGTTTTGGATAGTCGGGAATTTCGAGATGCAAGGGGTAGATGAGAGAGAGAACGTTGACGCTAGTTCCGGAGAGAGCACAGTGGCGTTTTGGTGTAGGGATCTGACGCTATGCCCCATCTCTTGACGTCTACATCATCAACAATTCCTCCATACAGTCTATGTATGGACACTACACAACATCAGGCAATCCAATGACACTCAAACAGAGACAATGGTAGTGGCAAATGTTATATAGGTGGCACATACGCGTGGCCCGGTTTTGTCGTTGCTACCGTCGGCGCGGCCCATACCTGCATCAGTTGGAGAGTGTGCACGAGCCTGGGTTGGTTCCCTGTCTCTGCAGATGACCGTTCCCATCATCGAGTATTAACCGCAGGTCCCAGGCACGGGGAGCCGGACGCTCAAGCATTATTAGCCCCAAATGTGATGGACCCCAACTAGCTCTCTAGTTCGAGCTGATCTATCTCCAATGTCCTCCATCATCATTCTTTTTTTACATTTTTTTACATTCTTTTATTTTTTACCAGCTTTTATATAAGTTTCAAAAAATTTCATTTTTGACCTATCAATCATTTTCATTGAGTTCAGATGATTGTAAAACTAGTTTTTTTTCTACTATTTACAATATTTTATTAGATGGTTTTATATTAACAAAATATAACAATCTGTCACAAACCTAATAATTAGTTCAATATTTAATATGTTAATATAAAATAGAACAAGAATTATATAGAAGCACATTGTCCAATGAATTTCCCTATTTCTTATGTAAGACTAATCTAATATGTAGCATGAAAAAAGACATGATAAAATTTTTATTAAAATGTAATAATAATTAAAATAGTCAGTATTGAAGACTTATTTAAAAACAATGTTAAATAAAATGAATGCTTTATGGATTAAAATTACATTCATAAATTGAATACATAATGAAATTTGAAATTTTTGGTTGAAAATGCATAAATTTGTTAGAGATAAAATTTCCAAGATGTCAAAGATAGAAAAATGTTTTGCTTTTTCATGATTAATTGGAGTATTTATGGGAGATTTGAAATCAGGTATAAATAAAATCGCATACCTCAATGCAGTCAGTTGCAGTTCTCTAGGGGGGTGCAATAGGGGGAGGGTGTTTGATGCCCGTTATCATGTTGACAGACACAGCAGGGTAGGTTTGCTAGCCAGTTTAAGGGAGACAATTATAAATTGTTGACGTTTATGCCAGATTTGAAAAACAAATCAATGTGTTCAAAATGATATTCTGTTTCTCTTAAATTTATCCATTATTAATTTGTTTTCTAAAAATATTTACACATTATTTGGGTGAAATGATTCTTAAAAATAATTTAAATAGCTTAATAAAACATTCACAATCCATTCTTTGAGTTATTCCGAGTATTTTTAGGGCCCTTTTAAGACTAATAAAAGTTTACAAAGAAGCAGAATGAGACTCTGACGTGTTAGAAAGGTATTATGAGAATAAAAAAGAGAGAGAAGAAGACACTGGGAGCGGCGAATTACCAAATGCATATTAGCAAGCGACGGGCGCTCTTTAAGAGCTTGTAGTCAATCTCTCCGACGGACATTTATAGAGAGAGAATTAATATTCTAGACCTTCAACCTCTAGACCTTTTCTGATGATATATGTACCCTAGTACTTTACCATCATCCTCAGTGAGAATTATTTTTTTCATCCACAATCAACAAATCAATTAAAGTATGTGTTACTAATTCACACAAATCACTTCTTCAACAAACCATTGGTGTGAAAAAATTCTTTTTTCTACCAGTGAAAACAAGGAAAAAACTTTAAAGTCTTTTTACCATAAAAACACTTGATACTTTCATAAATTACATCTAATTATAAATAATGTAAAAATTCTTAAAAAGATGAAGAGAAAATAATTGACTGTGATTGGGAAATATACTTAACTTTTAAATGATTGAAATAATCAAATGATATCCTTTGAACTCACATGACCTGGAACCAAATGAATTTTTATAGCAAAAACCTCTTCATGATTGATGAGCCATTAAGCTCAGGCAATTACCTTTTCTTGCGGTGAGCCAACAAGAGAGAAAAGGCTCTGGCGACACCTGAATTGTTTTCCAGACAACGACTTTTTTTTATTGTCCATCTTGAGCTGTTAAACGAATTCTTAAATGTCTCATGTCTTCTAGACTATTCTCTAGTAGAAATCATACACTTTTCTTGTTTATATATACATTATTCTTCATTTTAATCAATTTTATTATTCTTGTTACAGGTAAAAGTTTTAGTATCACCATCACTGTCTCTACAACACCACCACAAGTAGCTACATACACAAGAGCTATCAAAGTCACTGTTGATGGTCCGAGAGAACCTAGATCAAAAACAAGTAAGATTCCTTTCATTTCATCATTAATTCAATTAGACATTTAATTTAGATTTCCTTGAGGTTTTCATTTTTCTGTTTAATTAATTAAAAAATTATTGCTTTGTTGACAAATGAACTCTTAATTGTAGGAAAATATGTTGATAATATAATAAGTGTTTACGAGAATAAATTTAAAAAATCGCGAGTCCCAAAAGTGTCGAAATGCTGATAATTTAGGCAAAGTCACAGTGCGGTAATAGCAAGTCATTACCGAGCAGATGGTGCACGATGATGCACTGGTCAACGTGAGGCACGTGTGCGTGTTTCGTTTAGGTCATGTTTTACGTGTGTACTATGCCTCCCACCTCAGTTCGCCTTTATGCAACGCGAAAATTAGTGTCCATGCATATATGAGGCATCCGCGGGGACTTTGCCAGGACCATTTGCGCTATTTCAATGTACAAGGCCTTTTGTATCCATGAAATCGTGGTCCACACCAATTTCTAGCTGCTTTCAATCTCATTTCCTCACTCATCAATTCCAAAATCATGTTCACAGCCAAAATGTCCTTCTTCTTAATTTTTATATCATTTTTGAAACCTTTTCAATTTCAAAAATGATATTTAATTCATCAAACTCGAAAAATAAAATTTTATTTATCATTTAACCCATTGTTAAGTAACTATCTGGATTATTTTTGTCATATCAAATCATAATTAAAGTATGATGCATTAGTTAAATATAATTTCACTTAAAATTCACTTCTCTGTCATAAATATCAATTTTTTTCATAGCTGTATCATTTTTCTGTTAGAATCACTGATTATTGTGGTATCTACACAAAAATTTTTTGTACAGTTCTAACGGTCAGCTATGATTAATAAAATTGATATTGAATACTAACAAAAAGCTCAACAAAGTCACAATTATATAAATGTAATGAGAGGTGGCAGGTGTGTTGCGGACTTGCGTCGCATTGTTAGGAGACAATGAGGCAGCGGTTGTTGTCCAGGTTCACGAGAGAGAAAGAGAAATAGAACCAACCAGTTCCCCCAAATACTCACATTGTCCTTTTCACAATTCCGTGAGGAGTAAAACGACACGCGTGTGAGAAGCGCACGCCAAGTCTGTCTCATGTATGCAATATGTTACAGTTCGTGTCTAACATGACAGCAAGTATCGAAGAGACATGTAGATCTTCTCAGAGAATCCTTTTTTCAGTCTAATTTTCACAGACAGGTCCTTATTTGAAAGCTATAAGAATTAATTTACTAAATTATGATTGTTTGGTCGTGAAAAGATGGTTATTTCATGAAATTTACTCCAATGGTGAACTTATTAATATTATCTGCAGATCATTACCTTTTTTTTAAAAATATTTTTTTACTTTTTAATGAGAATTTGAATTTCATGCTATGTTATTTAATCATTTAAATTTATCATTCCTATTTACTATTGCAATTAGAACTAGCAGAGTTAAAACAATGGCAAAAAATTGATAGTTTGATTTTTTATGATCATGAATCTTATTCCTAGAGGAGGGAAAGAAATAGAGAGGAAAGCCATGCTATTTCCGTCCTCGACAGCCGCCATACTTTGATTAGATAAACCAACTCACACTTACAACTTTTATGTATTACTCGAGACTCATTATTACTACGTAAATCTGGCCTACTTACCTGACAATAATTATTTATTCTATTCATATTTATTTGTTGGTTCTCCAATATTATATTCGCTGATAATAGCAATATTCTGATAAGCTCAATCAGCTCTAGGGTTTGTCTATATTTAAGGAAATTCTAATAGATTAGTTACGGAATCTGAGGAATGCTATTGAACCCACTCCATACACACAGTGGTCAAGATTCTTCATTATCCCACTCTGCTGTCAAGCTATAATTGCTTATGCTATTAATTTCTCATCAATCACTATTGATCAATCATCATCAAACATATAATTTGTCTTTTTTGTCTTCGTCACTCTGAATTAAGAATAGCTGTCTAGTAGTCTGATGCTGACAATTTTATTATTTAAAACGGTGTATTAAATAATAATTATATTTTCATTAATTTCTCTAATTTTTTAGGACAACAACATCAACAGTTTCGTGCTCTTGGTCTTGGCCAAAGACCTTTTCTTGATGCTCCAACATCATTTACGTCTCACTTGAGGGAACTAGAGAGAAGAAATAAACATCATCATCATCAAAGTCATTTACACAATCAGAACAATGGCAATAACACCAACAACAATTGTGGAAATACGAATAATACTCATTCAAATGCTTCACCTAACTCATCACATCTTGGAACAACTAGTGGGTCAAGTCATCAAGCCTGTTACAAACATAGTCCTCATAATGGTAAGAAGTCTATTGAGTTATATTTTATTTTAAATAAATACATTTCTCATTCAAAACTAATTATTAGAATATGATGTATTTTTTGTGTTGATTCTTGCCAAGTTTACTTGAAAAACCAGCTTGATAATAGTATTAAATTTATAAAAGAAGTTTATTTAATATAAAGAAAACTTGAATTAAAATTTTACCAACCAGCTTACCTTTCATCGGGTTTTGAATGTATAAATAACAAGGAAAGGTAATATATGAGTAAGTTGCGAAATGATAGAGACAGGAAGGAGAATTCTTAAGCTTAAGTTAAATAAAATACAACGTAAAAAATGCTCATATATCCATTTTCACTCTTGACCCTCCATTGAAAGGGTGCGCAATAGAAAGGGTTAGGAAGATCAAGCGAGAGAGAAGAGGAGGTGGAGACGTCGGACGTTTCGCGAGGTAATAGTTTCATACCTCGTTCCGGCTCTGCACCCTCTAATTCAGCGTAATAACGACATTCAACCTGCCGTTCCATCTCCCTCCTCTTCTTGTGCTGCTGAAGATACATAAAACATCAGCATCAGCTGCTGGCAGTGCATTCAGCGGCACTGTTGGCATTTTATTGAACCGAGGCCATCTTCCATCATGCCTTGCATCACCTCTCACTTTTTCTCCAAGTAAATAATTAGGTCAGACATTTGTCTCTTCTTCATTGTGATGATGAGGATCAGAGACCAGGTTCGACTGCAAGAAAGGATAGAATGACTTGGAGATTTTTTTTCTTCACTCCTGAGGCAAAAGAACCTGCAGAGTCCCGCATCAGTGGTCAAGACCTGATCAAAGTTAAGTAGACGACCATGCGTCGATACTGAGCAAGATCTCTTTGAAGCTGTGCTGCGGTTTTGTACCCTCTTGCCTGGTTCCAGCTTCTCCAAGTCGCTCTTGGATACTTGGTATCCTCCAATGCACCGTAGCACCACTTTCAGGTGGGCTTCCGGCCTCCCCCGCGCTACTTTTGGCCGCTGATGTAATTACCTCGTTTACCCTATAGGCGTTGCCGTCATTTTTTCTTTGCTGTGGTGAAGAAAAAAATTAAGTAAAAATTGTTACTTTGACTAGTTTGGTTTACTCAAGTGGTCATTGACTGTCTTCATCAATTCTTTCACTTTTTCTGTCTTTACAATTTTTTACAAAAAACAATAACTGTTATTTTCTTTCAATAACTATCAAGAAAAACGATTGAACAATTGCTCACTTATCAACATGGACACAAGTAATTTTTTTTAATTAGCTTTTAAATTTACTACTTAATGTTTTGTTTTAAGAGAAAACAACTGTCATCATTTTTTTAAAAAAGAATATTAATTGTCTTAAAACAATAAAAAAGGATGAAAATATTTAATCGATTTATTTTTTGTTATTTATCTCTTTAAATAACTGATATTTGATGCATATAACGATTTCCTTGAATTTCATTCCCAAATGTTTTTCGAACACCACGAAAGTGCTGATTTGAAATTGGTACTCAAAAATAATCCAAACACTGATGATCCAAAATATCAAAATGATCAGCAATTTTCTTGTTCAATTCGCCACCAATTCGGTGCGAGAGATCATAAGCTGTTGCAGTTATATCACGTATATTTCACGTGCACGTCTGCGTAATACCAGGGATCGATCGATCGTTTCTCGATCCAACCGTTCTTCAATCCGCTTGTTTTTGCTGAACCGATTTCTTCTGCCAGGCCATCAGACTTTTTTTTCTTCATTTTATTGTTCAGATATATACATTTCCATCTAGTCATTATTTTTTTTTTATTACAAATATTATTACCTACACTTTCCTTTCATTTGCATTTATTAATTGAATATCATAACTATTCAACTTTAAAGTCTAGAATAATAATAATTTTTTTTATATCAAATTTTCATTTTAAAAATAAAAAACCGTCTATATGAAGACGACTGAATAAAGAAAGGTTGAAAGCCATGAAAAGTAAGCATCACATCAAATTAATAAAAAAAAAAGAAAGATCCTTGCGCGACTCTGTCTCTTATAATATAACCGTGTCCGTTTCTCGTTTTCTCCCGAGAGGCTCATCTTGAGTCGTGATCGGGGTAATGAGACCCAGGGTTCTCTCGCGGGGGCCCCCAAAGAAAACGAGTCGAGACAAAGAGATGAATAAGCATAGGATTAACCAACAACTATAGCTACAGAAGAAAGATAGAAAGAAAGAGAAAATGAGGTGAAGAGAATAGTGGGAGCGAATTATCATTGGAAGGGGTAAGGACTCTGATTATGGGGTGTCAAACAATCACACTGATTGTACATTCGCTGCTAACTCCTTCTGTCTACTTTTGGATCTACGTCTTCTCCCCACTTTTTGTTTCTTTAATTCAACTTTATACCTCTCGAAGCTTGAATTTTTTTAAACTAATCATACAATATTATACTATTTTTTAACACTTCCCTCTGAGAAAATTTTTATCCATAGCATATAATCCTTTCATTTCAAAAAAATTATTTTCAACTTGACTTCTCTTTTTAAATAATCCTTTCAGATAATACCAAGCTCATAAGAACATTTTCAAATATTAGTTTAAAATCTTCAAAAGAATTTATTTTCAAATGTTAAAATTTATTCAATTTTTATAAATTGAGTGAGTATTTTTTAAAAATTAAATTCTATTTTTAAATTTAGAATTTATTTCAATTATTAAAACTTTACTTACATTCTAAAAAATCATCCTCGAAAAAAGACTTCATGTCTTTTTAATAATAAAAAAAATCATTTTTGTTTTTAATCTTATGTGTCAACAATCAAAATAATTTTTCACTGCAAAACTTTGTGTGGAATAAGGAAAAAATGAATTCGAGTTTCTGTTATATTTAAGTGCTCATACTTGAACTCATCGGGTTGTTTTTAGCTTTAAACGATCAAGTAATCGAGCAGAAAAGGCATGTTGGATAATCCACAGATGCACTGGAAGCTCAAACGGTAGTGGTTGCGGGTGGAAGTAGTTGTATTCTACCAACACAACCTGGATGAAAGAAAACACGAGACGTAACAACAAATGGACATATCCTGGGTATTTACCTATTTACCAAGACCCTTAGCTACGTTTCCCACGTATTCTGTTAGCTATGAGGTTGAAAATTTCTTGAATCTTTCTCGTCTTCTTGAATTTGTTGCTTCTTTACTTTATACTTATCTTTCTCTCTCTTCTCTATAAGTCATTTTATGATGACTTATGACTCGTTTTCCTTGTCTCTTATTTTATTTCTACCGGCTCGAGCACTTTGACATTTTTACCAGCGACCAAATTGTCTCGCATAGTCCTCTAAGAGACTCACAATGCGTAGTATGGCGCAACCCTGCGGTAAACTGGCTCGTGGATGACTCCATAACTTGAGAAGATGGAAAAGACCTGGCAAATTTTTCACTTAACTCGCAAAATAGCATTCTGTCATTGCTTGTTGAATAAAATAAATTTTTAAACTGTTTCATCATAAGTTACTCTATCAAGATCCTTTCCTTACGCAGAAAATTTCAATCTATGCTCAGAAATAATTATATTAATATTTATCTTAATTCATCTCATAATTCTTCAATAATCTTGCAAACTAATTTATTTTCAATTAATTAAGTTTAGCTTACTACAAAGGTCTTGAAAAGACTAACCATTTTTAGTGATCGAATAAAGTATTAATTAATGTTTACAAGACTAAAGATAAATTTTGACAAAATTTAAAATCTCAAGTGTTAACATGAGGGTTGGAGTAGGGGTCTATCTTGATAGGAGTGCACATGACACTTTCCTAATTGCTGGGTGCGAGCACCCTTTAAGAAAGCAGCCCTTACTCAATATCAGAAACTAAACTTCTAAGTTGTGTAATGAGTAAAAATTTTGTTAAACCATAAATTGTATGAAATTCCAAGAAATTATCCTTGGACGTCAACTTTTATCAATCATTATCTCAATCTCGTCCGGTTTCCATCCTGATACATCCAACATGAGGTACTTAAGGAAATATTGTGGCTATGCTTAGTTAAACCGCGATAAATATAGAGAATTGTTAGTCATCTATTTTAAACGATTTTTAAAAAATAATTACATTTGAATGAATCTACCAAAAATAAGCAATTTATAACTCAGCTAGTACAGTTCAGAGCCAGGAAGTCAGGCGTCAAATCTCTGATTTGTCTCCGACAGGTTCTTGATAAGTTCGATGACTTCCGTCTCCACTGGCGCCTTAGATAGATTGTTCCACTCGTCGAAAATTAATAGACTTTTTTCATAATATTTAAGATCAAAAATACATTCTTAGGGGTAAAAGCATCAATATGTACGCCACTACTTGATATTGAAGAACTTTATCACATTTTCTCAATATTGATGATTTAAAAAATCACTCCATTGTACATAAATATTTTTATAGAGTATCAAAATGAATAATGTGTAGAATATTATTGATGATATGGCAAGATTAAAACAAGAGAAATCGTTTGAAGTGTAGAGCCTTTAATTTAATGGGGCAATAGTTTCTTGTGTTATGAATATTTTTATTTTTGATACTCACATTTTTTATACAAATGATAAAAGATCAATTTTGTCGATTGAATGTCTCGAATCTATTCCCACGGCTTCATCAGGTTCCAGATCATTGGTCAAGAACGTCCATCATTTTTCCGCTGTTTTTATCGCTCCAAGTGTATTTCTTCAGAGCGTCTAGTTTCGTCATTCATTCATGCTTCTGTTACCTGTGAAAATTTTTTCAATTGAATTTTAATTCAATTTCATAGCGATAAATCATTAAATTCATGTCCCTAATGTTTTCATAATTTTTTGAATTTTTTCGATGACTCGTCAAGGTCGCAAATGACATTCTTACGTCTACTGACATTCCTAAACGGTAAATAGAAGGCATCCATGAAGGCGTGATGATGGAAAAACGTCTCAAGTTCCGTTGGAATCGTGACTTGGTGAATCATCAGATCTAACTGGCTGATAATGATCTCGAA